GATTGAGGTGAGTGCTTCTGGGAGGTGGCACCCGACTTGGCTGATTCGCCTGCTGCTGCATGGGCCCTGAGTGGCGCTCCTCGGAAAGACAAAGAGCGGCAGAAGCTACACGTACTGGCAAACCACCAGCAGGCACATGAAGAAGGTGCACTTGTTGTTACTATAAATCCAGGGTTGTGGCTGATACGCCCAGCTACCATGCTCTGAAACCATGTTTTCCAAGTCCGGTCGAACTGTGTTGGAACAACGCCTTCAACACTATGCAGAAGGTTTTTCCCCCGGAGTTGAAGAGCTTGTTCGTGGAGTCTTTGGGCGTGCGCGAGGCAGGGGGATTCTCCCCACAATGTTTGTCACCGCGAGATACTGGGACGGAGCATAAGGTTATCCGGGTTCTTCTTCTGTCCAAGAACTACCCTTCAGGTGGTGGACGGCGCAGCTCTCAGGGAAGGCATCCTCCGACGCATCAACTACGGGAAGCGGAGCGGTACCATGAGGCCGCCGGAGAGTTGCATGGGGATCACGGGGGCTGTACGCGGTTTACCACCTCAGATGTAAGTCCGAAAGCATGAGTTTCTTTCGCCAGAGAGGCTCGGCCTGAGTACGTTGCGGTATGTTGCAGTTGCTGTTCTTTCTGCAAGAGAACTGAACATTCTTGCAGCTGCTGCGTGGTGCACATCCTGATCGTAAAACCCTCGTCGATGAAGTTGGTGCTGTACTCTGCGTTCTCTCATGTAGTAGCTGGGTTGACCAGCAGCAGCAGCAGCCCATCATTGCCCATCGTTATTCGGCAATTCTCAACCGATGATGTCGCTCTGCCTCGCAAGCATTCATTTCTGCAAACGAGAATTCATCTCGGGTTTCCGGTGGTATTTGAGTGTGTGAGCCCATCTCAGGGTGGGTGGCGGCTTTGGTGCTGGACGGGACGTGGAGCTGCGGCTGGGGGCGGCTGTCAACGAGCCGCGCAGACTTTGATTCAATTCAGCTATGCGAGTTGCGAATGGTCTCAAGGCAGAATGAGGCCAAAGTAAAGGTTCGATCGTGCACAAAGAGTGGTTTTCGAAGTTTGCTTCTGAGACTAAGGCTCGGCTTGCCGGAGGCGCAGGGCAATGCAGGGCAACACAGGGCAGAACCGGGCCCTGGTTGAGTTTTCAGTACTGTTGGACGAGCAGATGCAGACACAGAGGTATCGGAGGTGCGAACGGGTCAACCTTCAGGTTCTGCAATGTTCTGCGTGCTCTTATGACTTACTGACTGTAGCGATTTCGAAGGTTGCGCTTCGGAGTACCATGACACCCTGTCGCCAAAAGCCACTTGCCAGGAGCTCCTGCAGGGACTTGGGGCCGCTGCAGCACAGGAGGTTCGGCAGGGCGGTGGTAGGGGAGACGGGGTCGAAGAAGTCGAAACAGAACGCGAGTGCAGCCAAGTAACCCGGAGGCGACGGAGGGGGATGCTGTCGCTGCAGCGGCGGAGGTTGGTGGTGCATGCTTGTTACTTGTATGCGATGTTTTTCGGCTGGCCTTGGCTGGATACAGTGATTGCGCAGACGACTCTCTTGCGCAAGTGCAAGAGAAGCAGCCCCGCTGTCCCCGTCACCACCTCGACAGCTGCATACAGTTGGAGTCTGCTGGCTAGGTGGCATAAGCAAGTAAATAGCAAGTATCACAAGCATTCCCTGTCCAGGCGTTGTCGTTGATGCGCCGGCTCGGGTCTGGATCAGCGCGGCACACCGGATCCGATGACGGGCGAGAAGTGCCACGACGGTGAAGAAGGGCTGCTCCATGACTCACGCTCCACCAGCTCAGAACCTGCATTCCGAGTGGCTGGACCGTGCATCAGGTTGCGACATGCCACACAGTAAGCACTCAATCATGAGCGCCACCAAGGATTCACGAGTCGAGTGGTAAGGGCCGAAAGCCTCATCCCAGGACCAGGATGCCCTCGTCTCCCCGCCGCTTCCCGCCCGGTCCGTGCGCTGCGCTGCGCTGCCAGGGAGACGACTTCGCCGTGCTGGCGAGGCAATCATGCAGTAAGAAAACGTGTATGCACCTAGATATTTGAATACGCATTCACCCTTACTGACCTACTAAATACAGTAAAAGTATCAGAACTCGAGGTTGGGATTTGATCAGGCCTCTGCATGCCCGACTATGAAGGGTCAGGTCACTTGCACCGGCTTCATGACGGGAAAATTCTCTGGAACAAGGTGAGCGGCGACGGAACTGTCGTAGGCAGAGCGCCAGAAGGGCCAATTCAGACTTAACAGTTTCTAAAGTGCACACACAGATACATGTATATATATATATATAGAGAGTCAAACAGTTGGCTACATACATATATATATATATGTATGTACACACATCTATACGTATATGGCCCCTGCTTCCATTCCAGAACAGGTTCGGGCAGTGTGTGCCGCGACCGGCAGGCGGGTGAACTGTTGCGAGATGTTGAAGCGCGGCATCGGCACATGTCCAATGTCGGCAGTGCTAGCATGTCGCAGCACCTCTTTGCCGATGAGTGACCAGGGCCCTTCAGAGCCACAGGACAAATGCAAACACTGTGAACACCGCCCTGTACGGTAGCTGTTGGCCATGGCAGTATCTCATCGACTGGAAGTGCAGCAATAAAGTTACAAAGCTAGGCGGTGCACGATTGCCATCTTCGAGTCCGAGCCGCCCAGTGCACGCTTCGCGGCGCTCAGTGCCGAGGGCCGCTACGCACTCCGGCGTTGATATGGGAAGGCCTCGGGGCCATGTACAGTTGCGTGGGGTTATACGGGTTTGGACAACGCAACACGCACGCACGCGCGCACGCACGCGAGCCCACGCACGCACGAGCCCACGCACGCATACACGCACAGACGGACGCATGCACGCACAGACAGACGCACGCACGCATGCACGCACAAACGCACGCACAGGCGCACGACGACACGCGCACGCACGCACAGATGCACCATAGACAAACGCACGCACAGACAAACACACGCCGCACGCACAGATAAACGCACGCACAAATGCACAGACACAGACAGAGAAACAAGTAAACACAGAGACTGACACACTGACACACAGACGCACAGACACATTCTAATCGTCCAGAAATGAGTGCAGAATGCAACCTAGGAAGCATCTCCACGTGAACTGGAGCAGCTTGCGGGTGTGCTTGTGCAGCTTGGTGTGCATTCACCTGGCAACCTGTGCACTGCCAAACCAATTGCCATAAGGAACCTGGCCCATGCTTTTGGCCTGGATACCCACTGCGTGGCTATCGTGCAGGGTGACAACATCAGCCAGGGAGATAAAGGCGCCGAGCACTTCAGGGCAGTGGATGCCCTTCAGCCCTTCACCTTGCTGTGCCCCCATCAATTCGGCTGAGAGCTTCCTTTTCGCCATTGGCGGAGGCTCCGAGTGCTCGCAGAGTGCGCAGCGCTCGTGGCCGCTGCTCTTCTCCGCGGGGCTGCGGCCACCCGCCGCCCGAAGCAGCATAAGAATCCATGTTGGGGCTTCTTTTCAGTGGAAAGAAGCTGAGAGGACGCACTTAACTATGTAATTAAACTCAAAGTGCCCTATCCAACACTCTAACAACATGTACGAATGTGTGTGACAGTTCGGATCAGGTCGAGACCGCGTTTTGGTTTGGCGAGTTGCTCGGCAGACTGATGCCAACGAGTCGAGGGATCATGAGGGATCCAGAGATGCATTGAGGTGTACCTGGGGCATGCTTGCATAACGTTACGATGCTAGAGTTGACTCAGCTGTGCTGGAAGATGCAGCTCCTGACTGAGAAATTTGGACCAGCAACTTGTCGAAAGCTTCCAGCTTGCTACTGCGCAGCCTTGATATGCCTTGATGGAAGGTTCTGCCATGCCTTGGCCCATCGCTCGACGGGATCGTCGCACAGTGCCCACCACACGCGTGCGGCTTGACTTATGCCTTATGCCCGACAATCGGGCCTACTCTGCAGGGTAGTTCTTCCGGGCCCAGTCGGCCTGATCTTGGTGACTACACAGAGCAAAGGTCATGCAAGTTCTCATGGCCCAGTACTTCGATGCCTTCGCGCGAGCCTTCTCGCAGGCGGGTGGTGTGGTCGTTGGCGCACTTGCGATTGCCTTGCACAGCTTCTTCACCATGCACATCCGTGCGCTGCTCGTGCCTAGGTGCAGCTTGGTCACGCCACCCCCTCGCTTCGACACTCGCGGTCCCCGGGCCGGCGGCGAAGGCCCCGACATCACCTGAGACACCTTTTGTCTTGTGAGTTCGATATTCATGAGGGGTCTGTGATGGAGCCACGGAAATGCGAGAGGGAGGTGATTTGGAAAGCTTTCAGGCAGTCCAGAAGGTACTCCTCGAGTCTTAAGTCATTCCAAACACCATTTTTTTGCCTATTTGTCCCCAGTTCATCTCCACGGTCACACGGCTTGTGCCCACGACGCCGGCACACGTTCGAGCCATCTCGAACCTTGGCTCCGAGTATCCTGGTCCCTCAGGCGCTCCCCGTCCTCCGACTCCCGGCGAAGGAAACGCCGCCGACGCTGAGGCAGGGAGGTCAAGAGAGCATCAGATCAGGATTTGTCAAATCCGGGTGATGTTGGATGTACGATGATGTATGATGGACGTTAGTCGCCTCAAGGTGGGCTAACGGGCCCAAGAGCCTCGAGCGTTTGCACAGTTTGATGCGTGCAGGCCCACGCCTCCACAAAGCCGGAGGCGGAGCAAGAAAAAGTCTCGGTGCCCCCCTGCGTTCAAGTTTATGGTTTTGGGACGCTGTGCAACTTTCAAGGGGTGCATGACACTCACAAGAAAAGGAGGGAGTGTAAAACTGCAAAAGACCCATCAGCCCCTTCATGAATGAGATGTGTCTTGGCCAAGCATGCGAATTTTGCACTCAGATACCTTCAGTGCCTCGGCACCACAAGCAAACAAGCAGAACACGCTCACGTTCCCACACGACACCTGAAAGCGACCGCAGCCTGTGCCTTTTCCACCCGACAGTCCGAGGTTCGACAGAAGATCGAAGTGTTCGAGCCTCAAAATCTGTCGAACACGCCGGGAGCTGAGGTGGAGAGAACGGACAGATGAGAACATGGTGCCCCGTTGGTGCTCAATTTGCAACAATGTGGGTCACGTTACTGCGCGGAGGGCCTGGGCTTTCGCAGCGCTGCGCATCGAGGATGCAGAGCTCATGTGCCTCCTTGCAGGGAAGGCGCTCCTGGAAGTTGTTTTTTTTGATTCTTGTTTGGCCTTTCGAGGGGGGAGGGGGTAGGCTTTCAATGTCTGAAGATGGGGAAAACCAAGCAAAACTAGGTCCTGGGCCTGAGCCTATGACCTCAACCCTCGAACGATAGTGTGACCGGAACATTGCCTTGTGCCGAGATCTTCCAGAAGATCAGCCAATGCTCTTGCCAGGGCCTCGGTGTGTCAGTAGCTCCCGAGAGTTGCAGGCGGATAGTTGCAGGGATGAGAATCACCGGAAGTCCTTGGGCTGCAGCCTCACTTGCTTGCTTCGCGGGCGGAGGTTGGGACAGCCTGCAGGCTACATTGTGTCCTGCACATCTGCACCTGACATCGTCCAGACCAATACCGGCTTTCTGACCGAACCCCCGACGCCAAAAACAAAGACCATGATTCTCATGTATCCTACTGGAATCCCTGTGGAGTGGTTCGTCCAGCTCCAGCTATTCGGGTGCCAAGCCAATAACAAGACGGGCCACGCATGGCCACATACATCAGATGCGCATCCCAAAAATCGATTTGCTGTCATGCGCAGACCTCGAAGACGACGTTCCAAGCTGTTCAAGAGTCCATATTGAAGCCCTAAAAGGGCCCTCAGTGCGCCTGCCAGAAGTAAGAGCTCTATCTCCATCTGATTATCCGTGGCAGTGCTCAACTATGTCTCAACAGCAGACTTGGGCAGTGCCAGCTAAGGCCGAGATCTGGCGAGCATCTCCTGGTCCTTTGCAAGGCCTGACAGCCCCCTTCATCTGCTTTGAGCATGTTTGTGCTCGACTGTAGCAGCTCTTAGTAGGCTCTTAGCTGTTTCCTTCCCGGGGGGGTGGCAAGAGTGAAGCAGGCTGCACCTGGGCAGCACGGAGCTCCTCGTTACAGTGCCCGGGTCCTGTGGACTGCGTGACCAAGGACTCAGTTTCCCTGCCAGTCCAAGTTTTAAGTTGAAGTGTACCTCGCCTTTCGCAACTGCAGCGTCACAGATGTCCGCTCCAGCTTTGTCCCATTGCGTTTGCTCCGTGTTTGTGGGATGCCCTCGTTTGCAGTGCTCGCCACATTTGGTTTATTTCAGAAAGAAGTGGAGACACCCTGCGCCGCCTGCCGCAAATTAAGGTCTGAGGCTGTACAAGCTCGGGCCTACCACTGAGATCATGGGCAGCGTGCGGTAGAACGGGCATGTTATTGCAAGACTATTCTTCAAAGTACGTTTGGCAGGTGATGGAGTTCGAAGTGAAGGGTCTGTCCAATGCCATTTGGGCATTTGCCGTCCTGTCGACGCAGGACGTGTAGCTCTGCGGAGGGCGAGCCTGAGCACACTGTCCCAGAAGTGGCAGATGCGGCAGAAGTCACTTCGCACTTGCGAGGATGAGCCCGTCATGTCCAACCTCGCCGCGGCAGCGTTGCAAAAAATTCGGCAGCGAAGTCCTCAGATGCATAGATGCTTCCTGGATTAGGTTCAGTGACATGAGTGCTTCTTGGGATGCTTGAGGTGCCATGGCTGTGTGAAAACGTGCATCGTGCAGACAGCCTAAACCAAAATGACGACATGCCATTAAATGTCAAAGCATGGGCCTCTTAAGCGTGTCATAAGCCAGGTGCTGCTCGGAGAGATCCGCGAAAATCGAGGCTCGGGCGCACAATGCGGTCTTCCACCAGTTCAGGGCCACCCATTCTGCCACAGGATCTGGCAACGGACCTGAACGGCTTGACATGGGCAGCTTGGCTCGGAAGGGTGCGTGAAGGGTGCGGTGGATTATTGGCTTCCACACAAGCTCCCTAGAAGTCCTAGAAGTCCGCGGGGTGATGCCCCTTTTGTGACTCTCACCGGCTCTGCTCTGCAACCGAACCTGGCTGAAGAGGCTGCGGATGATACTGTAGTGGTGGAAATTGTGATTGTGGTGGTCGTCCCTGCGGGTGTATAGTGGTCGTTTTGCTGCTGAGGCAATGGAACGAGTCAACTTCCTGACAGGCACCTGCAGTGCGTCCTTGCCGCCCGTGTGCAGCTCTTCCTTCCTAGATTCCTAGGGCCTGGGGCCCGAGGACACGAGCAAACTACCAGACAGAGAAGAAACCAGGATCACGGCTATTGCATGGTGTAGTACAAACACTTTGACTGTGCGGGCTCGGAGCCTGCGCCGCGTGAGCACGCACAAACATGCAGGGGTCGGGTCGGAACTGAAAATTACGTACTGTTGCTTTCCCTGCTATGCGCTTCACACTAGCCACGGCTGCGGCACGCAGTACCGCTGTATATAGCCACTATAGTTCTGGACGGGCTGCTTAGACAGAACCCGACTTGGACGACAAGAGCAGCGAACACCACTTCGAAACAAATGCGGCCGGCTGCAGCCCATCCTCTCATTCTCTTTTTTAACGGTTCCGAAAAACTCGAAAGCTGATGATTGCCATCGGCAGGGTTTATGCTCCAAGGACCGGCCCCACATCCCGACATAGCCCCAGAGAAGAATTGCCGAATACGGAAAGAAGTGGAGGGGTTCGTAAATCCCGGCCTGGGTTACCGGCACCGGTAGCGGCAACACTGCTGCAGATACGCTTGCGACTACCCTCCTGGACTTCATGCTTGAACCTTACAGCCTGACATAGCCTGGCACATTGCATAGGAGCGGTGTTTGAGGTTCATTGCAGAGGCCCAAACACCCCAAGGCCCCAAACTCTCCAAACGCTTCACCACCGAGGCAGCGCTTGGGGCGCATGAAGGACGTGGAGATGCCAGGGTCCCAGGGCGCGGAGTCTCAAAATGATGCACCCCCTCTTGTGGTTCTCCCTCAGTGTGCTTTTCATTGCTTTTCTCTTAGACTCTTCAGGAATAAGGCCCTGCGTGACCTTGCAGGGTGCCGCAGCTTTTTCGATGGGCTGGGTCCCGGAGCTCCAGCCCCTCTGGCAGCTTAGGGTCCCGCAGCCCAATGCCCAGCCCAACCCCTTGATGAAGCTCTATGCAAAGGCCTCGCAAACCCCCAAGATTTCTTGACCCAACGCTATTTCAGGTGTTGATTCATGTAGGGGAGCGATGGGGGAAGAGGCATAGTAATAGGTGCATGGCGAGACCCCGCCGCTTGTTGCCTGTGTCCCTGCTCTGAACTCTTGGCCGCTCATGTGTCAGGTGAAGAAAGGGAAGGGAACCAGTCATGTCAAAGAAGCCTGCTAGTCAATCTTTGTCAATATCACTACGCCGGCGTGGCAGTCTCCACCGATCTTTGGTTAACGGGAACGGAACGGGTAAGTAGCCAGAAGGGACAGGCACCAGAACGGGACCCCCGCCGGACTGGAAGCCTCGCGCGAACGTTTCCTTGTTGGTCTTGATCATCGTTTTCCTAGCGGGCTGTTGGGTTGCACAGCTGGGTTCATTTGATTCTTCCTTTTTGCCTCATTCCGCTTTATGCCGCTCTTTTCTCACGGAGCGCCCAGGACCGGTCCGCATCGGCCGCCACCCGCGAAGATCGAGAGCGTGGCGCCTGAGGTGCACAGCAGACCATCGAAGAAACAACGTGTGCAGCGCGACCCACGTTTCGCTGAGTGCAAGGGTTGCTGTTGGGTTGTTCTCGGATTCTTGGGCCTAACGAGGCTTGCGTGTTTGTCCGAATTTTCGAAGTCAGATAGGTTCAGTATGGTGTTGCAGTGCTCCAGGCTTCTGATTTGGTGACTTCGTTGACGTTTGCTCAATGAGCCAAACGGGATTTCCAAAAATAGGGGTACCCCAATGAATCGAAGCCCCTCCCCCCCCCCCCCCCCCCCCCCCCAAAAAAAAAAAAAATGGAGAAAAGCGTCCCTCTCTGTCGGAACCCCCCAACAAATACCTTCACCCATCGGAGGACCACCCTGGCGAGGAGCCCATGCTGCGCCTGGATTTGCAGGGGACCTGAAGAACGAAGTGTCATCTAGGACAGTTTCTTTGGGGTAGTTACATTAAACTTATCTTGTTTAGACTTAGAAGAGCCTTGTATAAACAGAAAATGCGCACTGGCAACTGTCCTTTACACGAGGTTCTTCTTAGGTGCATTTAGGTGCCAGGCCACGGATTTGTGTTCTGAGGCCCGACATGTGCTGCGTCCACAAGCCGGCGGGGTGGGAAGTCGACAACGAGGTGCCATCAGAAACGAAGCTGACACCTTCACCGTAAGGAGGAAGTGCAGCACGTGGAAGTCTTCCTCAGTGCTTAGGTATCTCACATATGCACCTATGAACACCACGAGTCTACTGCCCTATATCCCGGAAAGAGCCGAGAAATCCTTCCAGATGCCGGCCACATTCTCAGGACGCCGGAGGTGGACCATGGATGTCCTCCTGGCTCATGGAGCAGCCTCGGCCTAAGAGCTGCAAATATCGTCCCCTCAAGTTGCAACAGTGAACCGAGGGTTGTGGCCGTTATTCATGGTAACGTGGCAGAATGCCGCGCGATGCTGCAGGTTTTCCTTTGACAGCGTACCGATTGTGGGGCCGGCACAGTTGGAGGAGGGAGGAGCGATGGGAGAATGGCACCTCGGAAGAGAGAGACCTCGAGATGCTATAGCAGAGCAGCTGTGACTGCTTGCATGGCCAGGTTCATTACGAGGAGCATCAGTTCGGCTTGGTCCAAAGTGGGATTCTGAGCATGGCCGCGAGCTGCCCTTGCCTGCATTCCTCCTTCGTTACCTCTCCTCAAGGACTGGACATCCCGAGCTCGGGGCTGATCCTGGCTGGCAAGACTTGGGAGGCCAGGGTGTGAGCATTCCTGAGCATTCCTGAGCCTTCGTGAGAGCATACCTGAGAGCATTCGTGAGAGCACTTGCGAGCACCTTCGTGAGCATTCGTGCTATGTGGGCTAGCGCACTACGTTGCGCTGTCGTGGTGCATGTCCCTGCAGACAGGGCTTCTACACCTTGAAGTTCCAGCTACAGACAGGGCTCCTTGTTCGCGAATATGCCGCTCGGCTAAATTCCGCGGCACTGCGTCTTTACGAAAAGGACACGATGCGTCTGCGTGTTATGGTTACGTGTACCTTATCCTGCGGTTCCCACCCCCGGAAAACTTACAGAATATCCCCAAGCGTTAGTTGCCGTTAGAAAAGTACCATTATAGCAAAAGTTCATTCTTAGATGACACAAGTGCCTCATGAGCCGAAACTGCATCATGAGTGGAGCTCTATTTATCTATTCAAGTGTTACCTTTAGTTTACCAACAATGAAGTAGTACTCTGTCAGGTTCTTCTCGTGCATGGCTGGGTGCTGACCTTGGTTAAGGGGCTCTGCGCGGTCGGTTTCAAAAGCCAAGGCAGATGAGCCGTTTCCATCCGTTTTGTCAGGTCGCCTTAGATGGCAGCATCAACAAACAGCCGGCGACCTGGCAACCTGGACCATGGAAGTTCATCAGAAGCCCGTGGTCCTCTGAACATGTGAGACCGCATCATCTTTGATCCCCTGAGGTCCTTCGCCGCCAATGCGCCCTGCGGTGCCCCTGCCCCGGGGCTTCTGCGCGTTGCAGCTCACCTGAGGCGGCTCGAACGGAAGATTCGAGGTTTTGGCTAACGGCAAGTGAAGCTTGTTTATGCTGTGCTGGGGTTCGGGGCAGCTTGAGAGAGCTGCGAACTGGCATCCAGAAATCAGCGTTGGCACAGTATACACTGGTATACACTGGTATCTTGGGTCCCCCGCAGTGAGTGCTTGGAGGCGCCACAGCGAGGGTGAGGAGCAGCGATTTAGCCTGGTCCTCCTGCGGGTGCGGCCGCTTCTGCAGGGGCATGCAGGGTAGGCTGGATTTGTGAGAATGACCACTTAGGCTTGTGTCATGCTTCGTGCACGTGAACTCGTTAACAAATTTAGACGACCGGAAGATGCAGATACAGGATTCGGAGCTCGTGCGTTTTTGTCGTGGTCTGCACGGTGTTCTTATCCCGCAGCACTTTGTGCAAAAGGTTTTGTCCCAGAAGCTTAGCATAGATCTGGCACGGTCACCATGACAGATGGTCAGTGGACCATCAAGGTGAAGATTGTCAGTGGCTTTCCAGCACTAAGGTTTATGTTTCAATGCTGGGCAGCCAGGCAACTCATGCACAACTCATGCTGGCACAGCATTGAAACCTTGGGCAAGTGGTGTCTCCAAGATTTCAAGGTATGGACAACGAGGCCATCAACAGCAAGAAGGGGTCGAAGTGGAAGCCTGGTGACGACCTCACGCTGCAGATAGAGGGCCACGCGCCACTCGGCTGCTTCAGGCCAAGATCAAAAGAAGCCCGCAATCTCCGCAATCTCCAGCAACTGGTGCCAGCACCCACTTAGTGGGACATGGTGTGGGATCATCACGTCGGGTTGTTCGGCTCAAGCCTATAGGGCCGTAAGCTGAAGTAAGCTCCTTCAGCCCTTTGCTTGGTGGCACGATGGCAGGACGTTCCTGGGAGTTCAATCGTGAGCCGCAGACACGACTGGCGGTTAAACTGCCCCGAGGTGCACACGCGCCCATCTCTGCACGAGTGCGACATGCACCGGTAAGAAGATACGAGATGACGGTGATATCAGATGTTTGGCCAACAAAAAGCAAGAGCGAGCGAAGAGCTCTTCGCAAGGAGAGGCCATCCATTAGTGACGATGAGGACCCTAGGGTGTCAGAGGACCGAGCTCTCTTTTGGAAAGCTAGGGCACAGCGCTTTCACGTTGATTGCCACTTTCCTGCTCTGGTCACCAAGCAGCTGCTGCCAATCTGGCGGACCGTCACAGAAGACGAAGAAGATGCAAAAGTCTCACATCCAAGGCAGCTCCACACCGTGCACACCATTGCTGAGGCCCTGTCGAGGACGACCCTTTCACACAATGCCAAGCAGCGCGCAAAGTGTGAGACGGACCTGAGCACTTGCTGGTGCCCGTGAGCACCGGAACACAAGCCTCAGAGTACAACCTAGGCCGGGTACTCAGGACAGCCCATGTGAGAACCCACGTGGCTCACGTTTCACTCCATCGTCTATTTCACTTTAGAGCAGCTTGGAAAGGACCAGCCAGACGGAATCCCTGAAAGCAGGGCCAAGCAAAGTGCATGCGCATTCGTCACACGGGCCCGCAATGGGGAAACCATAGCAGCGCTGCCCTTCGTACCAAGCTGCGTTGCCTGGATCCGCATAAAAAGGAGCTGCAGGGTTGTTGTCAACCAACATATGCTAGCATACCGTTCACTGGAGTATGGAACTCCAGGCCGCGGCGTATTCAGTGCAATTCAGGGTCATCAGTGTCCAACATGCCGCTGAGAGGTTGTCATTTGCTGTGTTGCGAGGACCATCAACATGCTGAAGCAGCGAATCGCTTTAATCGTAATGGCGCATCCGACGCTTGGCAGATTCAAGGGCATGTTTTTGCGCAGTTCGCAGCACATAGGGAAAGTTGCGACAGTTGTATGAGCATTTATCAGTCCGCAGTTCGCAGGAGTTGCTCGCTACGCCATTGCGTGCTGTTCTAGACCTGATGGCCTTGTGCCCAGGAAATTCCAGTCCGTGTCGTTCAACGGTGGCGAGCCATTGGACGACGTCACGAAACTGCAGGATGTGGAAGGCATGGCCGCCGGAAAGATGCTTGGCAACCTCAGTGCAACCATGCGGGCACTAGCCGCTCCTGGATACAACCAGACGCATGCAGGTAGGGCCGTCCGGATTCTCAAGGATTCACGTCAGCTCCGGTTTTTTCGCCAAGGACCATGGACCTGGTAGTCGCGGTGCCTCCAGAGCCCGAGGTCAGATCCTTGAATCCGTTTAGGGCAAGCTGTCCATGTTGTCTTTTGCCAGATTCTTGTCACCGAGGCACCGCCTGTGGTACTGTCAGATGATGCATCCTGGCCGGCTGTTTAAGTATTTTTGAGGGTGGGAGATGGTCGGCTGCCATGACTGCGACTGCTCTTTCACTACGCCGCTATGTCACAATGTCACTAAAGCTGAGTGGCTAAGTGCTGCTAAATAAAGGTGGGGTTGCAAGGTCGCCAGTCACACTGTTGGATGTCTCGCGCTCGTGTTTAAAAACCAAGGAGGATGTGGTGATGACTGCCGAGGAGGAGCCGCTCCCAGAGCAGCCAGCTGCGGAGCCCTCGAAGCAGACTACGGTGACTAAGGGAAGAAGATTTTAGATCGTGAAGCGCTCAACGCGGTTTCGCTTCAAGACGTGTGCGTGGTTTCGCGTGATGCATGGGTTTTGGGCAACGTCAAGGCTTGCTTGGGTACTTTTCCCACATCCCTCGCGGACGATAGACTCACACAACTCTATTGGGAGTCGCATGGCGTCGCTTCGTGTTCCCATATGTTCCCATTGCCAGAGTTTGCCTGGGCTAGAGACTATTGTGGAGCTCCTTCCTTCCCATCTACGGCAGCGTGGTACGTAGTTCTCCGACTGTGATGTTCCTCCTCTCTAAGGCCGCCGTTCTGCAACCTATGCCTGGCTAAGATTTGTAGCGAGAGCACCTGGCTTACTCCAGCCTTGCGGGGAAGGATGTGAAACTTGAAGCTGCAGGTTCCAGATTCTACAACAGACTTGAGCCGAACTTCAGCCCTCTGTCATCTGTAGCAAAGGACCTGCACCAACTCCGTATCTTCGTATGACTTTGTAGCAATGTGTGCCTATGTACGTCCACTATGTTCTTTCTTTGCTGGGAGACTGTGAGTATGACTGTGGTGTTGTTGCGATGTTTCGGCTGAGGATCTCATCAGCAAGGAGCCGCTGTTGATTGTGGTAGGTTCATGGTCTGACCCGGCGCCGCGGCGAACTTTCGTTTCGGGGGCCCCCAGTGCAAGCCCGCAAGAAGCCGACTCAACTTAGAAGAAAGACTTCTGGGAAGGAGCTTGAACCCCAAAGACATGTCGAGACTCCTTGGCAACGGTCTCAAGTGGCAGGAGCTTGGCGATGCCGAAGCCGACAAGCAGGGCGAACTGAAAAGCCAGGCTGCAGATGTGTCTCGGTGAATGTCATGTCGCACTGGTGTCAAGTGTCGGCTTGGGACGTCACAAAAAGGCAATATTTCAAAGGAAGTCGCGGCCTGCCTGTGGTTTCTTCGAGCCCAGGCGCTTGAAGACGGTGATCTGAAGACGGCGGTTGCCAAGTTCACCGAGGCGATGATGCTGGGCGGAGCCGCTCAGCGCACTCAGTCCATCTTGGAAAGGCTTGATCCGACCCGGCAGCAGGAAGGCTGCATAAAAGTTGAGGCATCCGCAACGACTTTCTTCTTCGTAGTCTTGCATTGCAGAAGGTTTGTGAGTGCCAAGACCAGGTGTCGGCCATGATGGTCGCAAAGCGAGCAGAGATGCTGCTGAGTCTTGGCTCGATCCGGTCGTGCGCCTGAAGACTCCCGATGATCACAAGCGCAATCTCAAACCCTTTGCGGGAACCCCTCCCCACCACGCCCCCCAAACTGGAAAGCAGCGGCATAACAAAGTGCTTGTGCGCTTAGGCGGCATCAGCACCTGAGCATTTTGTCAAACGGACCCTGGCCAATGTGCTACTGGAGCAGCGCAGCATATGCGTGGGTGCCGCAGGAAGCAGAAGCGATACAAAGCCGTGGTCGCTGACGCGTCGCTGGCTTTGGAGCTCAATCCAGACAGCGCCAAGGCACCTTGCCACACAGCAGTGCCTCCACACCACCGTGTTTTGTTTCGGGATATTTTTTTTTGACTGTTTGGCAGTCGTGTTGTGAGTCACAAGAGGATTACTGTAACAGTGTACGTAGCTGCGTAGCTGCAGCTGCGAGCCTTGGTCTGTCAGCTCGTACAGACTTTTTGATATCATGGTTCGGTGCGAGTTCTGCTTGGTGTTCTGGTTGGTGTGATAAACTGTTGAAGACTGCTTAGCTGGTATGAGGCGTACCGCGCGCGAGCGAAGGCAAGGCGCTTCCTCGGCGAGTATGAGGCACAGAGTGCACTCAGGGTATTGGTAGTTAGTCGTAACTTTGCTGTCGGTATTGCTTGCACGCTTCTTTCCTTCCGTTCTGGAACCAGCTGCCCTGCGTTCTCTAATTAAGTGGAGGGCGGTCAACCTACAAGCCGCACAGAGATAGCATAAAAGGCAAACAAAAACGACCCGCGAAGCGCCCCCCCCCCCCTCCCAGCCAACCCGCCCAACCACCTCCAGCCAAGGGTTGGGCGTAATTGAATTGGCTAGAGTCTAGAGGATTGGTTGGAGGGGTTGGCTGGAAGGGAGGGAGGTTATCTGAGGTTGTGTATTTCCGGATGTTTAAATGCTGGCATCAGGTACCATGGAATACCATGAGTTTGACTCACTGTTTACAGTCCGGGTATATTCAAGCCGCCATTGTGAATGCAAACAAGCAAGGCTCGATTTGAACCGTGTCCGTGAAGCAGCGTCATAGCTGTGGGTCCTTGCTGCTGTGAGGCAAGTGCCGCTGATTTTGTCCAGGCCACGTGTGCCGCAAGTGTACGTTCCTTTGCTGTAGGCTGGAGACCAGAAGGAAGTGGTTGCATGCCCCATAGGTTGTTGCGGCTTTGAGTTTCAACATGATGTTGCCGTCGCCCTCGCTAGTTGGTGGAGTCAGGCGCAGAAAATCGACTACGATGACGGTACCTCGGCATTGAACATTGGGGGCACCTTCTGAATTTCTAGTAGAGCCGCTAATTGGTGGCAATGGGATGTTACCAGGCCGATGAGGTACATTAGCTTAAACAAACAGATGAATAGCTGGAAGTGATACGTCGTGGCAAAGACCAATGTGATGACCCATTGGCCATTGACGTCGAGATG